CCTCAAGGTCTTTGAGACTGGAGCTTGGGAACCAACATCCAACGACGTCATCAAGAGCATGATGAAATGGCAGATGGTCTATCCTACGCCAAAGTGGGTCTTTGCAGACGCTGCCAGATACTACTCCAGTGAGGAGTACATGGACTACCTCAACCGAGCAGGAGTGGGTTTGACGATAGCACCTGCCGAGGCTCACTGGATCATGGGATTTGAGGAGAGTGCAATCAACATTGCAAAGGGAACAGTGGCACGACTTCTCCGAGAAGGCAGTAAGTTTTCTGTTCCCGACCTGTTCTCTCTTGCGGCTGCATCAATGAATGCACATGTGGGACCCAGCGGCTTCAGCGCATTTCAATGGGCTTTTGGAGCTGGTGGTGGACCCCTGGACGACGAGAAGTTGCTGGTCGGAGTTCAACCTGGGAAGTCTTTTCAAGGACTGGTGAAAGAGCGCGAGCGTGCCAAGATTGCCTTTGAACGAGAACGAGCTGCTGAACGTTTCTCGAAATTGGCAAATGCAACTGGACGCCAAGCATCCCAGTACAAGCCAGGGCAACTTGTGATGCTGTGGAGACAGAGAGTGAAACCTGGCAAGGTAAAGGGATCCTGGACTGGACCAGTCCGCCTCATCATGATGGAGGGCACGACTGCATGGCTTTCCAGTGGATCAACGCTCATCCGCGCCAAGAGCAACCAGATCCGTCCTGTCTCAAGCCGCGAGGAGCTGACTGCAATCATGGAGGGTACAGCGATTTATCGCACACCCGTCACTGTGGAGAACCTGATGAAAGCCTTCCAAGGGAGGTACTACAAGGACGTTGCTGGGAATGTTCCAAGTGATGATCTACAACGACAAGACCTTGGACCTTCTCAAGTACTTCAAGAACCAGAACAGCGTGGCACCGACTCTTGGACCCTGGTCGAGGAGAACGGCACCCGCTTCCTTGTGAGGAAACATGTTCTACCACGACTCGCACTCTTCAACCCTCTGAGATCAACCAACTGTCCAGTGTCTCTGGATGAGTTGACAGGCAACCGCATCACCACAGTTCAAAACGTGGCTGGAGGAGAACCTGCAACAATCAAGGACACCGTGGACATCCAACGAAATCTCCAAGACCGATGGACTGGAGAAACCAGATTCGAACTTCTACCTCAACCTGGACCAGCACCAAAGCGACTTCGAGTTCCTGCACCAAAAGGTGAGAAGCGCAAAGCAGAGGACGAGAAGCCTGCTGCGGAGGAGGAAGATGAGATTGAAGACCATCCTGGCGATCCTCAAGATGAACCAGCGCGTGGATCCGATGATCCCCCATCAACGCTGACAAGAGCTCTTCATTCCCGAGGACCTGATGTTTTGGATGGGATGCCCATCAAGAGCACCTCAGGAGCTTACAGATGCGCTGCTCCTGGCTGTACACTACCTGGTGGACATCAAGGCCTTCACAGAGATGACCAAGAGCGAGAGTTCATCTACGACGCCAAGGAGAACCAGCAGATGCAAGTGAATGACCCGGAGGAGGACCCCGCTATTCCGTCTTCTTCGTCTACCACAAGTGAGGAGCTGCTTCCAGATGATGATGATGGACAGCCAGATGGACGAGATGGCAACAACGAGAAGGAGGATGACGACTTCTTCATCGCCGTCACTGTGGGCTGCGATGAGCAGGACTACAACTGGCTGGCAAAGCACCGGCGCAAAGGCGCGGTATGGCTGAGCAAGAAGATGAGTGAGAAGTCGAAAGAGGTAGACTGGAAGAGACTTCCACTTTCAGAGAAGAAGGAGTTCGACGTTGCTCAGGCCAAGGAGATCAGCAATGTCATCATCAGCAAAGCTCTGAGAAACCTCACCAAGGCTGAGCTGGACAAGCTGGACGAGAACAAAGTAATGTCCATGCGGTGGGTTTTGACAAGGAAGACTGATGGAACAGCAAAGGCACGCCTAGTCATTTTGGGCTTCATGGCGCACAACCTGACCGAAGTGGCGACGGCAAGCCCGACACTTTCAAAGGTGGGACGAAACCTTGTGCTCACCCTGTCCTCCAACCTGAAGTTTGTGGTTCGTGGCGGAGACGTCACATCAGCATTTCTCCAAACGGGGATATCCTTGGAAGATGAGGAGTTGACGATTTGGGCACCGCCCGAACTGGCCGCTATGTTTGGAGCCGAGTATGGTGAACAGAAAGCTCTTCGAGTTTGTGAGGCTTTCTATGGTTTGGTCCATGCACCGCGCAAGTGGTATGAGCGCTGTGTGCAGGTGATGAAATCTCTTGGATGGCGACAGCTTCAAGGTGACAAATGTGTCTACGTGCTCCTGGACCCCGAGACTGGCAAGATTTCTGGACTGGCTGGATTGCATGTGGATGATTTCCTGCTGTCCGGCGACCCTAATTCCACTTTCTTCGACAATGCCCAAGCAGCCTTGCTGAAGGCATTCAGATGGGGCAAATGGGAGACTGAGGAGTTCACTTTTGCTGGATGCCGCATCCGACAAGCTGAAGATTTCAGCATCACCTTGGACCAGGAGGACTACACCAACAAGTGGATTGAAGAGATCAAGATCGACGCCACCCGATCTCGACGAGCTCTACTGCTTCCTGCCGAAGTATCAGCTTTGAGAGGAGCCCTTGGAACAATTAGCTGGAGGGCGACGCAGACAGCGCCCCAGTACCTGGCTGACACCAGCCTGCTTCTTTCAGAAGTTTCCAAAGGCACCGTGGAGACGCTCTACAAGGTGAACAAGCTGATCAGAGAGATGCGAGCCAATGCATCGCAGGGACTGCTATTCCCTAGCTGGGGGAAAGAGATCAAGGAGCTGGCAGTGATCGTATGGGCCGACGCTTCGCAGCACAACAGGCCCGACAAGTCTTCAACCATTGGCATCCTGGCCGGCATCGGACCCCGTGAGATGATCGATGGCGAAGAGCACCAACTTGCCATTGTTCAATGGAAATCTGGAAAAACACCCAGACAGTGTTTAGGCTCAAACGGAGCTGAAGTCCAAGCCGTGACAATTGGCGAGGACATTTGCTGGAACCTACGACTTCTACTTGCTGAACTAGCTGGAGAAGAAGTTCGGAGGGACAACTTGCATGAGATTGTCAAAGTGATCAATGGCGCCGTGGTCATGGACACACGTGGCATCTATGATGCGATCACTCGCAACCTCAGCCCTCTTCATGGACTTCGAGAAGCCAGAGCTGGATACGAGCTGACTCTAGCGGTGAACCAGGGCATCCAATCAGGTGTCCAATTCCGTTGGGTCAACGGGTTAGCACAACTGGCTGACGCAATGACGAAGGCCTCCAACCGCAAAATCCTGTTGCACCTCTTTGGACAAAAGCAACACTGGAGACTGGTGCACGATGAGAAGTTCGAATCAGGAAGACGCGTGCACAAGAAGGAGCTAGAGAAAAGGCTGAAAGATATGCAGGCCAACTTCGTGGCCTACGTGAAAGAGCTTGCGGAAAAGAAGAACTTTCCATGGACCAATGAAAGTCCAATTCGATATCACCCGCTGAACTAACAAAAGGTTCAGGTAGTTGGGGTGATGCAATGATAGCTGTGCATGACATAACACGTTACTGCATGTGAACCTTTTGTACTGACCGCCCCATCGCAGGGAGGGGCTCGAGCGATTGCCCATAGGAAAACAGGTGCACTGCAGCACCAACTGTGCGACCGTTGTGGGTTGCGTCCCTAGACCTCGTGCAACAACGAACATGGGTAATTATCATGTTTAATGGTTGACAATTACCAATAAAAGTGATGGACTGCTTGATGATCATATCCTGGGTTCGGACACCAGGCACATCCGCAGCATCACCGCCGAAGGCGAGGGGCATGAGCTATGGGCCATGATGGCCCATGGATTTGCTTAAACATGGTTATTTTCCATAGCTGCTATAGCTATGTTGATTTTCTAGAGGGTATTATATACCAATATATATGATATCTTATTATATGCATTCATTTCACTCGAGGTGACTAAAGAGTTCTCAACTTCTTTACCTACACCTACATTTGACTGCATGTCTTGTTCCTGCCTTCCCCGAGAAAGATAACAAAGGACGACAGGATGATGTGGGTACTCCCGGTCTGACGAGGTTGGGAAGACCAGACGGTCGTTAAAAGAATGTGATCCGTTTCTGTATGTTTCTGTGGTCAGTGGACGGTTGATTTTATCCGAATTCAATTCGTATTCACAACATCTGGTAATTTATATCTGTTCATCGAGATTGATAAATATCTGGTAATTTGAGGATTCACAACATCTGGTAATTTATATCTGTTATATCTGGTTGGTTTGCAAGTACAGAATCCTCAAAGATGCCATGTCCAGCTAGCCACTAACTGATGCAAACGTGAAGTGCTCGTGGTGCCGCAGCTGGTGACTACACCGTCAGAAACTTCGTGGGTGTCATTGAGGACACTGGGATTTTCATGGTTTTTATGGAAGCCGAAACCGAGAGCCATGGGGATAAAATTGGCCAACAGAATGTTGAAACAATGGCCAACAAGATCCAACAAGTATCTGGTGATTTGCTGATGATATCGCCATGTTTCTCGCTTAAGTCACCGTTTTGCCATGTTTTGTTCGTGACTTCACAACCTGAAGATTTGAAGTACCCTTTTTCCTGTTTGAGCGATTATCATCGTTGTTGTTGGTAAAACAGGCACGTTTTTTTTGTTGTGGTTTTCCAGTCGTTGAAGCAGCAAACTGTTTGTCGAGCAACTGATGTCACTGGATACCAACCTGGCATTCAAATGGGAAACGCATCGAACTATAGCTAGTTAATTTTTGTCCAGCTAGCCACATTTGACTTCCATAGGGTACCAGTTGGTACGTCAACTGAAGAACTTGCTGGACACCCCAAAAGGGACCAGAGATAGGTAGAACAAGACCATGAACTCCGAAAAGATGTAGAAGCATAAAGAACAAGATGTAGCCCAGAACCGTACAGAAGAAATCAGAACCACAGTCAGGCCATTCCAGCGAAGACATTCCTATACTCGCCGCTTCGCCATAGAGGCCCATCGAGGGCCCTCCCAATTTGCACCATGTCCGAGGAACCTGGGACAGAGGTGAAAATTCTTGCTCCCAGTGGTCATTGTCTCCAGACTTTGCAGCTCCCGATTCAGGCGCCAGCCGCGGAGACGATGAGGACCTCGTTGAGAGCCGCTGGCAAAGAGGCGAAAGGAATCTTCGTTTTTACAGTCGGCACAACGATTCTTGAAGAGGAGTGGCCATTGGAAAAGCTTGGGATCACTGAAGGCTCCAGCATCGAAGTGACGGTGCTGGACTCGATGAGGCCTTGCTTTGAATGGGCTGTCTATGATGCGTCCTTTGGCAACGAGATTTTGGACAATGGATCAACCTTCCAACGGGGTCAAGTGGCGTCACACACCGATGGAGTGCGAACGGCTGTTCCATTGCCTCGAGACACAGAGTGTTACATATGCTTTAAGGGTATTAACACTGGCACCCATGCTTCCGTGGGCGTTGGCACCAGCAACTGCGAAGTGGCCGAGAGAGGCTATGTACATCTCTATGGTCAGGATGAGAATTCCTGGGCGTTGTGTTTTGGAGACAGCGGTGAAATTGTTGCCTGCCACAAGGGCGAAGTCTGTGTGATGCAAAATTCGAAAGGAGAGCAACTCGAGGCACCACCGAGGACTAACTTCCCCCATATGTCACACAGCCATATGTCACACAGCCATATGCTGTACATCAGCTTTTTGATCTCAGCAGCTGGGCAAATGAGGGTAACTCTCGCAGGATATCCAGAGGTGGTGGTTCCCTTCGAAATACCCACGGATCTGGATGTCTTCGTGATGGCTTCAACCGTCTATGGCAAGTCACAAATATCGATTTCGCCCATGCCCTTCCCGCCTCCCACGGACCCAGAACTGCCTCCAGCCAAAAGCGCTGAGAAGCCAACGTGAGTCCACTTGAAAAAAGAACGAGCCCTTGGGATACTGGGGTGCCATCCCCAATGTTCATACACATTTTTGGGCAAAGCCACTTGCACGTCAAATTGCCAAGGAAGCCACTTTGGGGATCGTTCATATCTTTAAGGCTTTAAGGGGATGTTTGATTGGACACTCCCCCATTGATAGATGATTTTCCCATCGGAACCTCCAAAAATGCCCGCCATGTTAGAGGACACCCCCTTGTGGAAAAAAAATGCCCATGATGTCACCATTAAATCATATTAGCCCCCCATGATATTCCTATTAGAATCCATATAGAGTCCATTGGATCCCTATGATATCCTTATTAAATCCATGAAAGAATCGCAGGACATCTCAGTCAAGAGTTCTGTGGTAGAGCCGTCTCCTCAGCTGGGCTTAGGCCGGAGTTTTTTGGCCTGGAAGGCACGGGGCAATCCTCATGGGATCATTTCTGTTGAGGATGAAAAACCAGTAGAACAGGTAGAATACCTAAGGTATAAACTGTATATTGTATATGTATAATTATGTATACATTTGGTGAATCCATTTTTTTCACAATGGGTGGATTTTGGTGTGAACAGCAGGACGACCAAGATGTTTCATGAGATGATTTTAATTGCTGGAACCTTTTAACACACTCATTTTTGATCCAGACTTGTCAACAAACATGAAATGCCTTCAGTGGAAGTCGGACTTCCATTGAATCTTGAGGACCGAGCATCGCTATCCAAGGACCGAGCTATTTCCCTTGGGGGCGCTCGACTTCTACACCAAGAAGAACATGGGATTGCGACTCAAAGATGGCTTCGTCCGAAGTGTAGAAGAGTACCCCAAATTCCAATGTCGTATCATTTTCAACATTAAATCATCACCATGTTTGGTCCCATTTCTGTTCAAACCCAGCTGATTTGCCAGGCAATATTCTGACCCCAATCAAACTAGGTCAACACTTTCTGGAAGAATCGCCAGCAACAGTCGTCAGCAATATTGGCCGGTTAGGCGATTCGCGCAGCTTCCATTTTTGCTTCAAATGAGGGAAGCCCTCTACTATCGCACGCAGCTCTTGAAACGTATTGCAACACACAAGGCAAAATCCGAAGTATCGCATTGGAAAATCATGAGGTTGGGAGTACACGCAGGAAGAGTACGACCAGTGGTTTTTGCCAGAGCGGGGAGGCCTCAAACATTTGCCGCACGGTTCGTTCCCCAAGGGGCATCCCCAAATCGCCCTCTTCCAGTCTCGTCTTTGTGAGTTCACTGGGATCCAGAATCATTTTTTGACATTTTTTGCCCCACATCAATTCTCAACCATTTGGGCAACGATTTGGGGGCCATTTTTTCACCGTCCAAAACGATGGGGAGCGCAGAGGTGATCAGGGAGACTATCGAGATGGTATGCAGGACCGATTCCATGGCCGATGGCCGGCCACGGCTTCAGTCATGGGGGATCCCCGTTACCATAGGTTACTAGGTTTCAACACTAAGTCATGGTCATCCATGACTTGGATGATTTGGGGGTACCCCCATGGCAAAACGGAAACCTCCATGAATACTCTATTCAATCTTGGGGAGATGTCCTAATTTTGACCTACGGCAGTTTTTTGTGAGCAGCACCACATCTTGTGGATGCTACTTTAATATATCCAAGAAAGCAACACCTCTCCTTCTACTGAAGAGGAGATGTGTCAAAATCTGATTTTTCTTCATTGTAAATACGTCATTGCCATATGCCATCGCAGGAGATAGTTTGCCCATCATGGGAGTTGATTCTGTTTCTGTCGGCTGGTTCCCCTTCCAAATCAGACCATTTAGAATTTAGGGCACATAATATATCATAATATACACTCCAGCAAATTAACATGGATATGAAACCAGCTGCAGACATGGAACATCCACCAAAGTAGATCATTTCCTAAGCAACTCCATGGGATTTCCACAACTTTTCGTATGCTTCCCCTTTTGGGTAGAGCCGACATGTACTGCTCCAGCAGGAGAAGATTGCGAACGTCATTGCCTGCCTCAAAGCCGAGCCGAGGCCGGCGCTGATTCGCTGATTTCATCCAGATTTTCATGGGGATTTCATGGGGATTTCTTGGGATATAACTAGATGTCAGATGTTTAATGGGATATAGCTATGTAACTGATCAATAGTTATGGGATATATATATAACGTATAGCTATAACTATATCTACTGCTGATAAAACTATTTAACTACAACTCGAACATATAATGGGGATTTCATTAGATATAACTATAACCAAGCAACAGTTGGAATGATTGGACTTGTAGGGGTAAATCTCCCAAAATCCCATCCCAGAGAGATCCTATATTTTGAAAGAAACCCATGTGGGGGATGGGTAAAAGTCTATGATTTTCCGTGTGGTTTCTTTGTGATGAACCTGCATTTACCAAGTACAAAGATTTGAATCTGCACCGGCATTATAGTTCTACGGCTCTACGGCAGACATGAAGCACTCTACATGCTCCACTTAGCTTTAAGAATTGTACGGAGAGAAGTCATGAGTTCCTATATGAAATTAAGCAGTTTTGACTCTCGATGGTACAGCAGCTGGGATGTAGGAATTCTCCATGTGTCTTCCGCTGGCTCCTGACCTCAAAGGACTAAGTTAAATATAGATAGTGGGTACTCAAACATGATATTGGAGAAGCCCTCAACATGGCCTTAAACCAGCGGAATGTTTGGGAGTGTAGACGATTGATGACAAATGTAGATATATGTAGATATAGATGGGTCACAACCTAGTTTACCATATTTTCCTGGGGGTTTTATTCACATCCATCAATTGATTCCCGGAGAGCAACGATGCGTACGCGCCGAATGATCATCCCAGAGAAATTGGGGATGATATCCCATCCCAAATATGATTGGTCATTGGTTACGAGCTATAAATGGCTAATTCTCATCCAAAGCAAAGATACTGTACTTTTTTTTCTCTTAGAAAATCACTCCAAGTTGGTTGAACACCCTTATTATTCTCCATGATCAAACATATCCCTTGAGTGGTGATACAAATTATTGTAATTACACATATCATATCCCTAATATTCCCAAAAAACACAATCCAAACACAATCCAGCTACCTACAGATCGTCCAATCATCCCAATCATTATACCATATCCCTAATAAGCCCTTTAATCCCAATCATTCTCCATCCGAAGAATTAGCCATAATTCGTCCTAACAGTTATGACAGTTATGTGACTAGTCATCGCCATTGTCTTTACCCTCTGGTAAACGTTTAACTATTGACAATGACCATTTTTCATGGGAAAACTCACGACATTTCTATGGTCATTTTCAATAGCTATGTTAGTCATTACCAGAGGGTAAACCTCCATTTTCCTATGGTTTTCCTATGGTTTTCCCATTAAAACCTCCATTTTCCTATAGTTTACCAGAGGCTAATCCCTTCGTGGAGAGTCCGCCATCCATCCAGCAGGTCCAAGCGGGCGATCATCCCCATTCCCTTCCCATCAGAAGGCCCGTTGTTGGAAGTGATTGGAAGTGGATTTTTGGTGGGATTATCTTGGTGATTTTTTGGGAAAAAAAAACCTGGGGATATGAGTGGGAAAAAAAAAGTCTAGTAATTTAACAGCCTGCTATGATATAGATGGCCCATTTAACGACGTCCGACGGACTTACCCACAAAACATTGATATATATATATATACACATACATATATATATATAATAGCTATGTTCAATTACCAGCGGGATCCAGAGGGTATGATTTTGCCGCAGATGGATTTTTCATGCAACTGGAAAACCATCAACACGTCCTGAAAAACTCGTTTCCAAGCTCCCTTCACTGAAAAAAAGGGTTTAGATGGCCACGACTGGGGTGTCTACCAGTCTACCCAATTGTCAAACAAACCTCAATCCATTGCGACAGTTGGTTGAACCGGTGGATCCTCTATTTTTGATGGTTGAACCCCCCATTTTTTGATGTGGTCACGGAACAGGGGCCACAACTGGTGGCTCTCGAGGCAGCAAAACCGTGGATTGGACCAATCAGGGCCAAACCAAATGCTGCACAGAGCTGAGCAAATCAACTGGGAATGGAAAGGATATTTGCGGGGATGGGTCAATACGTGTAGCATACTACAAATATATTACATGCGTATAATTTATATCTATATCTACATCTATCTCTACATCTACCTCTACATCTATCTCTACATCTATCTCTACATCTATCTCTACATCTATCTCTGCATCTATCTCTACATCTATCTCTGCATCTATCTCTACATCTATCTCTACATCTATCTCTGCATCTATCTCTACATCTATCTCTGCATCTATCTCTACATCTATCTCTACATCTATCTCTGCATCTATCTCTACATCTATCTCTGCATCTATCTCTACATCTATCTCTGCATCTATCTCTACATCTATCTCTACATCTATCTCTGCATCTATCTCTACATCTATCTCTACATCTATCTCTACATCTACCTCTACATCTATCTCTGCATCTATCTCTACATCTATCTCTACATCTATCTCTACATCTATCTCTACATCTATCTCTACATCTATCTCTACATCTATCTCTACATCTACCTCTACATCTATCTCTACATCTATCTCTACATCTATCTCTACATCTATCTCTACATCTATCTCTACATCTATCTCTACATCTATCTCTACATCTATCTCTACATCTATCTCTACATCTATCTCTACATCTATCTCTACATCTATCTCTACATCTACCTCTACATCTATCTCTACATCTATCTCTACATCTATCTCTACATCTATCTCTACATCTACCTCTACATCTATCTCTACATCTATCTCTACATCTATTTGTACATCTACCTCTACATCTATCTCTAGATCTATCTACATCTATCTACATCTAGCTACATCTAGCTACATCTATCTACATCTATCTACATATATCTATCTACATCTATCTCCATCTATCTCTACATCTATCTCTACATGAGCTGTGGTCAATACTCATGGTTAATAACCATTAATAGGGGCTAGTCATCCAATGGTTCATAGGGATTTATAATAACCATTATAAGGATCCTTATTTTGGATGGGATGACCATCAACCATATAGTGAGTATTGACCATGGCTCACATCTATCTCTACATCTATCTCTACATCTAACTCTACATCTATCTCTACATCTATCTCTACATCTATCTCTATATCTATTTGTACATCTACCTCTACATCTATCTCTAGATCTATCTACATCTATCTCTGCATCTATCTCTACATCTATCTCTACATCTATCTCTACATCTATCTCTACATCTATCTCTACATCTATCTCTACATCTATCTCTACATCTATCTCTAGATCTATCTACATCTATCTACATCTAGCTACATCTAGCTACATCTAGCTACATCTATCTACATATATCTACATATATCTATCTCCATCTATATCCATCTATATCATCTATATCTATCTAAATCTATCTATATCTATCTCGACCTATCTCTATCTATCTCTATCTATCTATATCTCTATATCTATCTATATCTATCTATATCTATCTATATCTATCTATATCTATCTATATCTATCTATATCTATCTATATCTATCTATATCTATCTATAGCTATCTATAGCTATCTATCTATATATATATATATATATATATCTATATCTATCTATATCTATCTATATCTATCTGTATCTATCTATATCTATCTATATCTATCTATATTATATCTATCTATATCTATCTATATCTATCTGTATCTATCTATATCTATCTATATCTATCTATATCTATGTATATCTATGTATATCTATGTATATCTATGTAAATTTATCTATCTCTATCTATCTCTTTCTATCTCTATCTATCTCGATCTTTCTATCTCTGTCTATCTCTATCTATCTATCTCTATCTATCTATCTATCTATCTCTATCTATCTATCTATCTATCTATCTCTATATCTATCTCTATCTATCCTATCCATCCTATCTTATCCTATCCTATCCTATCCTATCCTATCCTATCTATTTATCTATATTATGTGTTTATACACATGTATGCGTATATATATATATATAGCATGTAGTTCCACTATACTCATGATATGGTACCATCTCTGCACGAACAACAATTGTCCGACTATTTTGTTGGTGTGAGCAGCATGGTATAATGGTATAGGCTTTTGACCACTATCCCTTTGAAGCCACCCCAATCCGCCACACCAGGTCGAGAGCTTCATTTGTACATTGAGGTGGGGTGGCCTGTTTTTGAACAGCCCAAAGGCTTCTTCTGAGATCTATGGCTGTCAGGACAACTGTTTGAAATGCACGGGAATCCTCAGAATGCAAAATGCCTTGAGCTCAGAAAAAGTGTAGCAGGGTAGATTTGGAGCAATCAGGGTACGATTTGATTTGAGTTGCGTAGTTCGTTGGCTGAACGATCTCAGCAGTCCTCGCTCAGAGAATTTGGATAATAGTTCTTTCTTTCAGAACGTAATCATATCATTTGCTGGTTTTCAGGTTCGAAGCTCTACGTTTTGATTCAATACTCCCAAGTTGGACATTGTGAACATCTACAGGAACCATCCATATCGAATGCCACAAAGAATTGTTTCCTGTGATTTTTGCCAATACCAGTCACCCACTTAGTCACTTAGTAAGTGGTTAATAGGTTCATAACCCTCCTTTTTTTCAGTCCCCATTAAAAGTGGTATCCCTCGGGTTATCCCATATTTTTCAGTGGCGTTTTTTCCGGATCCCCCAGTCTGATGGGCGCTGAAACAAGGCGAGCATTTTCCCGAAGAACATCCACTTCTTCGCCACGTTGCTTGAGCACGTCGGCAAGGAGCTGCAGAAACTCGGCAAGTCGCGGTCGCGAAAAACATGGAGATGTCACAGCTGTCACTGTCACTGTCAGATTTTCTGCGCGATTTACAAAGTCAGTTGTTTTGATAGTAATTGTGTAGAGTGTATATAAATATATTAATATATTAATATATTAATGTATTGAACAAAAGGATATGTTAACATACTTTTTTAAAACATATATATTGAAAAATTGATATGTTAATATGTCAATATGTTAATATGGTGATATGTTATTATACTGTATATATATATATATATGCGCACAGCACTGCACTGGTAGCAAATGCTGATTGATTTCGACATTGTCTTCTGTCCGTGGTAAAGAGCAGTGTCAGTACTTCACATATCAATTTCAGCAGCCCACATGTTGTTTGCTAAGGGTACCAGTTGGAGAATACACACATTGGATCACAAACCTTTGCCCGCGGCCCAGCCTCTTCATATCGCTCTGGGCGGGTGGCTGAAATTCCAGTGACTGAGGCCATGATCGATCTGCAATTAGTTGCTGATTTGCTGATCATTGAGACCTTTTGAGTTAGTCTGCCAGAGCTTACGATGGCAACAGCGATCCGCGCCGATTTACACAAATGTTGGAGAAGGTCTAATTGGGACCCTCTGACCGTAGGAATCGTGAAACTATGTGAAACTTAGTGATGAGAAAAAAGGAATCTGCAACTTTCTCTGCAAACCCTGGCATTGGTCAGACAAACCTCAAGCTTGGAGGTTCACATGAATATATATATATGTATACAATCTGATTACCGCGATAGTGAACTCCATAATCAATTTGGATGGTTCCCAAAGGTGAAAGACAACGAAAGCTAGCATCCGCACATGAGGTTTAAGTGCTTTAGAGCATTTTTCAAACAGCAGTATAGGGGTAAATCTCGTACCCGCCAAAATTGAATGATATCTAAACATGACCAACATAGATGATATCTGTGGTTTCCCTGTTCTTGACTTTGACACAAAAATTATGCCCAGCCCAGGGAGCTTTTCCCATATTTTGCCTCCTGCTTCAGAATTTTCCCAGCACCGCACCATGGTCATTTCGGCTCAACAGCAATTTTGGAACTGCTTAAAATCGCACTGTGCGAAGCACATGCCCAGCTGGCAGAGAAGACGACATTGATTTCACGCAGCCATGGCAACCTGAATTCGAATTGGACCAGGGCATCTTTTGAAGAATTGATTGAAGGGGAAAACATGTAAACACACGTAAAAACTATCATGGGAAAAACCATGGCTTCATGTAAAAATTAAACTGATTTAATCAATTGATTGTTAGGTCGGAGATTCCGGGGTAATCATAGTTTTCGATTGCAACATTGCGACATCACATATCACTTAGGTTTTTGTAGCTCTGTTTCAATCATGGAGTGCTAGTGAACCAATTTTTTACTTCGTGTTTCTTTGGGTATACAATGTATTATTCAGGGACGAACTGGCCGTTTTTGGGGATCCCAAACTATCATTCAAGGGTCTTTAGATCGATATATATATATATATATACCATCCTGGACCATCTCCCCAATCAGCATTGACCCTGCCAAAATGGGCAAGGTATGGCAAGGTTACTCCAACCTACTATTCTACTAGGGGTTTGGGCTGGGGAAATTGCTATTTGGGTGTTGGGAGCGGATCCTCTTGGATCCTGCCTTAAGTTTCTGCTGGCTGCATCCTCACCAAGGAGAAGTTCAAAGCAGGTGATGATGTTTTAGTCTTCTACAGGATGACCAAGCGCTGTAGACCTGAGAGAAAATACCTGGCACCTCGTTGTGGCACTCCAATGGTCCATGGGATTTTAGGAGGAGGACCTCCAATGAAAATATGGCTATGGATCAATACCTATTAATATCATTTTTAGGGGGATGAACATCCATAAATCCCAGCTATTTTGATGTGAACTACAGGGGTACAAGGTTTTGACACTGCCATATGGTGCAATTTTGAGGGATATCTCATTTTCAGAGAGAAACCGATGAAGACAAGTCAGCAATCCAACTGGCTTTGACGGTTTTTTTTTCTTCTCTTTCCAGCTCGTGGATTCGTACAATTTTCCATGAATCGACATAATTTCACCAAACAAATCCGTCAAAAGATTGGACAGCCTCTCATGGCTGAATCTGGGGTTGGTAAATTCCAATTCTTAAGAATTGGGATTTGATATACCAGCTCAAGACAGATTGTTGTTGGCAATAGGTGATTCCCTTTTTACATGCCCGGTTGAGGCCAGGTTTAGATTGTCAGTATCATTCATTATCCCAATAAAGAATAGCCATAACTTGGGGTAAATCCCTAACAAGAGAGAAAGGCCAACTTTGACAAATCCCAAGAAAAGGCAATCAATCATGTGCCTCAATTTTCAATTAAGCCATAAGGTTCAGTGTATATATACTATATACCATCATTTTAAAGGGAAAACCCGGAAAACGCCTTAAAGACATTGGGGACATGGATCACCACCTTCCTCGGTTGAGGCTGTCCTTGATCAGCGCCACGGTGCGTATCGTCCACGCTGCGGGATCTCCGATGGCTGGGTGCCTGCGCGAGTCGTGGCCGACCAACATGAGAAGGACAACAGTGGAGATGTCAAGGTGGGAAACAGATACCCTCTGGTAATCTAACATAGCTTTTAGAAAGTCACCATTTTGAATAGGTAAATCAACTATAGGGTATTTTTAATAGCTATGTTCAATTACCAGAGGGTACCAGGATGAGGGGCTCCCATCAAAACGAAATCAATACCTTTTTTGATTGGGTTCAAAAAAGTGACCCATGGCTGACTTCCAAATGATTTCACCAGCGAATTGGGGAATTCCTCAAAGTCTATGGGGGGTTAAGCACGTTTTAGCCACAAGAATTGATCCTCCTTGCCCTGCCTTTTTCAACGAGGTCGAGTACACGTGGCCGTTTTTCTTCACACAGAGAGGGCACATGGCTGATGCCTGCAGTGGTTGGACAGAATGGTTTCCAGCGCATCATGTTCGAAAAGGTGCAGCCTGATTGGATGCAATCTTCAATTCAGGGAAATATATATATATATATCAATTGACACACGGATTGCAACTAGAATCAAAATTCTATTATACTACTATTCTATATTCATATACTATACCGATTATGGATCCAATTACAACACTATTTGCAGATTGGATCAGATACATGTGGATGGCGCTGCTGAATTCAGCTCACAAGCGCTGTCAGATGGTCACCTCACTTGGTGCGGAAACTCTGGCGGTCGAAGTGATTGACCTGCCAAAGAATTTGGATGGTTAGTGTGAGTTTCAGACCTGCCAGCTGCATCTTCATATATGTTCCATCCTTTTCCATCCTTTTCTCGTAGGTTTTCCCATCATTTTCCAAGCCTTAAAGCGCCGCTCCGCAGATCCTGATTCCAAGCGCCAACGGCTCGGAAGCCTCGATCCAAAGCTGGTGACTTGCCGCAGAATGTCATGTTGCTGCATGTATAATTATGATCACTGTAACACTGTAGCTAATGGCTACTTCTCTATGTACAGTTACGCATATATATATATATATATACACAATGTGTATATATATATATATATAGTATGTATATTATGTATATATATATATATATATCTATATATGTATATATATATATAGGTATATATACATGTATATGTATATATATATGTATATATTTATATATATACTATGTGTGTATATATTATATATATATATATGTATATGTATATGTATATATATATATGTATATACATGTATATGTATATAGATATGTATATATATATATACTCTGTATATATATATATATATATTATGTATATATATATACTATGTATATATATATTATGTATATATATATAATGTACATATATATATATATATACACATAATATATATATATATAAACATATATATATATATATGTATACATTATATATATATATAGTATATGCTCCAGGCCCTGCCACCCCCGCCCTCCCCCCCATGGGTTGGGCAATAATGGCTGTGGTGGTGGGGGGTGGTATACCCCCCCTGCTCCCCTGTGGTAATGGCTGTGGTGATGGGGGGTGGTAGTTATGTAAATTGGTAGTCAACAGATATTAAGTGTATAGTATATAGTATTGGGAATTACATACGGTTGTAAATAATGTAGGTGTATAGGTATTTTGTATAGGCATGCAATGGCATATTAAGTATGTATTAGGTTATACAAGGTATCAATTGGTGTGTAGTGTTAGGTATGTAGTGTTAGGTTTTCTGTATGTAATATTTAGTAGTGTTAGGTACGTATAGTATATGCTTTATATACGACACACATAATATATATATATATATACACATATTATATATGTATGTATGTATATATATATATATTATATATGTATATGTATACGTTATGTATATGTACATATGTATATATAATATATGTATATGTACATATGTATATATAATATATGTATATATACATATGTATATATATATATATATGTATATATATATATGTATATATAGGTATATATATATATGTATATATATATATATACACGCCCATATGAGATCTTCCCCCTTCCCCCCCTGTGACTGGTAGTGGCCCAACCCCCTACCCCCCCAACCCATTGGGGGGGTGGAGAGACGGAGGACGGGACCATATATATGTATATATATATATATATGAGATAGAATTTCTGAATGTTTGTGTATATGCATTGCAATAATGATATGTTTCTGTAAAAGCAAAACCGTAGAACTACACAGTGAAGAGACAAATTATCAATTCTATTTCCATCTTTGAATAATACCATAATCATGTGGTAAACCCAATAATTACCATAAACCTACTATTTGGGGATGGTTTATACAACCCAGAAAAATGATGATTTTGGGGATGGTTTATGAAATTGGGCCCACCACACTATAGGAGTTCACCAATCATCAATAGTTGTTTATTCTGGTTCATGATGGCAAATCATAGGCAATTAGGGTTGATCAGTGTTAATTATGGTTAATCATTGTTGATTATTATGGTCTATTTTTGGTTTTACCACATTAATAATGGTTTACCACACTATTCCCAGCTTTCCATCAATTTCCATTACTACTGGCTTTGCCACATTTTATCACACTGGAATCATGGTAGAATACTATGGCTCCCAGTTTTCCATTCATGTGGGTAAACCAATGTCATGAACCATCCCCCAATTTCATCATGTTTTGAAACGTGGTATGTTTACCAAGTCATGGGTGGTAAAAATGGCAGCCAGTTTTAACCACATTCCATGGAACCACTGCCTGCCACTGCTGGCTGAGATCGCCCAGGCCATTCTGACCTTCCGCTGGGGCGGTCTCAATGAGATCATCGCGCCGGCCCAATGGGGCGAGACAGGCGGCGGCGGCGTTCGACCTGGTGGTTGATGATTAGCTCGGAAGGGGTTATTAACTAACCTATGTATGTTATATATATATATATATATCTACCCTTCTCTCTCTGTATATATATATATATGTATATATATATATCTATCTCTACATCCAGATCTATATTTATCTTATATTGATTGGGGATTACCAGAAATCCAAGAACTGGGAATCATGTTCTTAACCAAGCTGGACTAAATGGAATGATATTTCGGGTTTTGAACACTGCTCAATTTTCCTGACAGTCAGTTGTCTCAGAATTGGGTCCACCCAATTGAAATGGCCTAAAATGACGTATCCCCCGAGAAACCCCACTACTGCAGTACTTGTAGTGGCTTAGTCGTGATGATCTGCCATTGGTTTCAGTCTCCAAGATGTGTTTGGGAAACTGTTGCTTTGCCAGATAAATTCATTTCCAGAATTGTTTTAGATGTAATTTTGCAGGAAACAATGTATTTGGAGATACAGTAAAGAGAATGGTTTCACTCTAATTTTCAGTAAACCAATCATCGAGACACCAGAAACTTCAGTTCAAGGATCCAACTGTCGCAGGCAGTTCAGTGTCTGACATCTTCATTGATTCCTACTGCGATCATTTCCAGCAGCATATCGGGGCAGACTACGAGGTCGGCTCGGATCATATCCACAAGATCTGTCTACGGCAACGGCAATTTGGGTGTCTGAAAATGCCGTCAATGCGGTCTACCACCCTGAAACAGAGGACTTCAGAGTACAGGTACTATATTGTCATATATTTTCCAACACATCCATTTAAACTTACCGTATACTCAAAGAAAGTGACCACGCAAAAAAGAGAAAGCGCAAAGTGCTGCGCATGCCATGCAAAACGCAGGTGAGAAAACACAAAGTGCCGCCACTACCACGCAATGCTATGAAACGACTTCTATACACTGAAAATACTGATGATTTTGCCAATTTGACCTTTGCAGATGTATGAATTATCGAAACTAAGTCCAAATTTGGTGATTGTGATATTGAAAAGTATTATGCTTACCCAGCAGCCCATGGCACATGCAAGTGGAGAAGTCTAGCAGGTGTGGTCCTGCAACAATCAATGCGTGGTCTAGAATGAAATGGTGGGAATTGACAGGTGTCGAACCCACATTTTGTATCAACCCAGGTCTTTCTCGACAAAGTTCAACTTCCTAGTTACCATGGGCAAGATTAACTTTGTCTTTCACCGCTGCAAAAACTGAGAGAATGGGTTTGGCTTTGAAACCTTCAACTTAATTGCGGTCCGAACCCAGCGTGTGAAAGTTCATGAAATCACCTTGAAAAACATCTGAATCCACTTTGAAGAATCTGGCAACAATCAAAAACTTGAGGCGGTACTTCTGCCGGAATTTCATTGGAATTTCTTGCAAGAAAAACTTTGTGAAGACCCATTTTGGTGTCCTTGGCATGCTAAATCCGACGAAATACAATCGTTCAAACGTGATTCTATGTCAAACAAATGCTTCTACTGTAACAACAAACTTTGACTTTGTTTCTGCAAGGAAGCGGCAAACACCATCATTTTTCACGGAAGCAGAATTTCAAGCAACTTTCATTGGTGCTTGATTTTTGTTGCCACTTGGTTTTGCAGGTATGTAATATAATATAATATAATACAACATAATATAATATAATATACTATAATATAATATAATATGATATAATGTAATATAATGTAATATAATGTAATATGATATAATATGATATATTATAATATAATATAATGTAATGTAATATAATATAATATAATATACATATAATATACATATAATCAATTAATCATATATAATCATATATAATATCATATAATTACATATAATCATATATAATCAATTATAATCAATTATAATCATATATAATCATATATAATCATATATAATCATATATAATCATATATAATCACATAAAATCATATATACATAGAGTATATATATAGACAATGTATAATCTATATATTATGGTATAATAATAACAATATATGTACAGTTACAGAAGCACATTTTCTATTGGAGCTAACCCCTCAGAGGTCTGGACAGTCTACATCGAGGACAAAAGCGACATGGACAAAGTGGCGGACACGGCCCATCTGCTCTTCAGCGGGCAGCATCCGTTGCGCCGTGCACGGAAACACGGATTTCCAAATGTTTTTTTTTGTTTTTTAATCTTTCCAAATCGGGGATTTCCTGAAATGGTGTTACCCCAAATCATCCAAACTGGGATATGTTGTTGTTTTCATGGTAGATATTATGATATAATGGGATATATATATATAAATAATCAACAATATACTTACTTGGGTTATTTGACAATTTGCTATGGCATAGCCCATATGAAAGATGATAAACATAATGATTTACCGAACTTAAAAATGGTGATTTTCCGTGGCTATGTTAAATTACCAGAGGGGTAAATCCAGGAGGCAATGTTTTGATTGGCTTGGCCACTGAAGCAAATCCAAGGAAAGTCTGTGCCATGTACCACCTTTATCCCACAGGCTTCGAGGAACACTGTGTTCCCACCAGTGAAACTGGTGGCGATGGCGGGGCTGCACTGGTAGACCAGAAGGCTGGCAGAAGAGCCTTCCATACTTTGCAAAAGGTCTGAGGACATATCCCCAGATTTTTCATAATTTTGGTATGTTTGAGAGGTTTAATTTGGAGACACCCCAACTCTATCCAAAATATACAAAATCCATCCATTTGCCCCCCAAAATCCTCGAATTTCCCATGTTTTCCAACATCTGGTTGCGGCATGCTTCGTTGATTCGCTCTGGCATTCCCCCTTCCCCCAGGCGTTCTTCCGGATGATGCAAGCCGTGGAGCGAGCGGGAATTCCGAGCCGCTTCCCCCACGATTCGGGGCTCTATGAGTTGCTGGCATCCAAACGCTGGACGTACTACATGGCGCTGGACCCTTGGCACCTTGTGGGGTGGTGGGGTAGACGGTGATGTTTGATGGGCGCCAGATGTAGATTTTTGCAAGGCTGCTGGGCATGTTTGTCTAACGGCCAATGTGGCCAACCAGATGTCTCTCATGTCCCTCTCGGTAGTAGATCATCAAAATACCAAGAGCTTGCCCAAGAATGAGTCAACAGTCCCCTGAGCCTCATTCCCCAGAAATGGCATGGACTACTGTAGTTGGGGCACGTTGGTTGGCTTCCGTGTTTGGCAAGTCACCATTTTTACCGGTAAACTTGCCATTTTAATTGGTTCAATCCCAATTTTTGGTGGTAGGTACTCATTTTTTATGGTCGAACCATCCTTCTGTTGGTTGAATCTCCATTTTTTGTTGGGAAAAACCCCATTATCACGAAAGGTAGCATCAGCTACTTGAGCTTTCGGGCTTCAGCGCATTTTCCTTTTTTGGAGGCAGAGGAGGCCATAGGATGGACGTGCCCTGCATGACTTCCATTCTGGGGGCCTCATTTTGTACACATCATAGCGATGGCCCTCCTCCTCCTCATTTTCATCATCGCCAGCCAGCAACATCCTCGTCCTGATCTTGCATCCTCGTCCTCGTCCTTTTCGCAATCTCCATCATCGCCAACGTTATCCTTACGCCTCTGTTTTTTTGAATATCATCCACATATATCCACATCAACTATATATATATATAATATAATTATATGTGCCATGAATGCTTCGCTTGCGTTTAATTAAGAAAAATGCACCCTTTCAGCACCTATGATCGCAACATATCCATCTACATACCTTTCGTTCCACCGTTTGCTCTCAAGTTTTTGGTCAGACAATTCTTTATCTGTTGTCTAATTATGTTTAAATCACTGTGTTTGTTGGTAAACTTTCATTCTCATGAATTTGTATAGGGTTTTACTGGTTTTACAGGTTTTGAATGAATTGAACCATGCCATGAAAATCAGTGCACTAAGCCCCAAAGAACGGCGCCTGAGGCGCCACATCTGCAGCTTCCAGCCACCATCGCAGTGCCTCGAATGCTCATCGAACAGGATGGGGCGGACTGCAAGCAGGCCCTGGGCCCCTGGGACGGGCGTTTGCACACCTTTTGTGCCTAAAAAAACGGGGGACATGATGGGGGATGTTCCACCTTATAGTAACCCCGAAAAAGGATAGAAAAGTGATTTTCATCACTGTTTTGATGTGATTTTACTTTTCGATCCTTTTGGGGATAAGTATTTCTGATCCGCAAAGTGCGTTGGAGATCGGTGGCAAAGAGCTCAGGCGGCGCTTCATCAAAGATTCAACCATGCGCACTCGACTGCGTTTGGTTTGCGTTAAAAGATGCTCAGACATTCAATGATGATCCTGCCAGTCGGTTTTGCCAAAAAAAAACAGAACCACATTGTGGTGGACCAATCACAGCGCACTCGCAAGAATTTCACTATACATGCGGCTTAGTGAAGGACACTTTCCATTTTTTTCCTTCTCTCAGGTTGGTGAATTCTTCATACTTCCCCCAGACCAATTGCTGAAACACATATTTCAGCTTGGTGAATGACGAGCAGACTCCAGCATATTCCACCAGAACGCCATGAACGCCATGATGATCGCCAGGCTTCACACTTTGCCTACAAAGCCCTGTGCCAAGTGCGCCGGAAGCAGCAGATCCTGCGAGGGGAAACTCCCAGCCACTGGGTCGACTGGGTCGAAGGGATCGATCTTTGTAGGTGATGGGGTGAGAGATATGAACACATTTTGATATGAACACAGATTAGTATTTTGATATGAACACAATGAAAACATTAGTATTAGCCAGCCAAAATGGGGCAAGACAGACTGGACATGGTTAATTATATAATGTTAATTATTCGATTCTCATGATGTGTCCTACAACCGATGGCCTGTTTAGGGAAGGAATACTGCTTCATAGTGCATTTATCCAGGCCCTTCACAGCAGACCCAAGGTGACGTCCCGATTATCAAAGGAGTCGCCAAACTGGGTTTCTCATGGGAAGCTTTGGATGTGAAATTCTGGGAAGGCCTGGGGCGAAATCACTTTGGAAGGAGGAGGTGGCCTCGTTCTGTTGCCTCAAACAATTTTTTGGGCAAGTTATATATGTCTTCCTTGATTGAAATCACTAGTCTATGGGGTTGATGGACTGCCAGAGAATCGTTCATCTTTCGCGTTAGAGGTTGCACCTCGTGTGGATTCATGAAATTCTTTGATTCTTCATATTTGGGATCAATGAACATCCGAATCTCCATGAATACCCTGCGAATTTTGGTGTAAACAGCAAACTACCAGGGTTTTGAATGGTTTTGAGCCATACCTCAAACTCAAGGTTCCAAGTTGACAGCTCCTGTGGCCTGTGGTGAGGCCAACGTGGCTTGGAAACGGCCATTTCCCAGCTCACCCAGACCATTGAGATCAGCGATGAAATCACCGGACAGCCCCATGACCTGGAAAATCTCATCGTGCAAGAGTTCCCTGGATCGATTTGTCGATTCTCCTGGATTTGAGCTGTTTCTTTTTCCCAATTTTTTCAGCGGTTCCGGTCATATGTTCCGAACTGGCTTCATCCGGAATCTACCCTGTTTTTTTGTTTTGCTTTTTTTTGGTGCTATTTTTCAAGGTATGTGGATCATGATTTAGAGCTTCGACTCTATGTGGTCGACGGCGAGGCTGGGCCGTAACTGGGCGCTGTTTTTCTGGATCTGATTGGATATCGATGATCTGCAGGTTGAAACCACCATCTTCACCAAGTTTTGCAAGATCAAGCCCAACAATGAGTTTGGTGACTTCAAGGCGCCGTGAAAATGGGAAAAAAAAGAAGCACTTCGCATGTGATGAATCTCTCAGAATCTTTCAGATCTTGTCAAACGGTCCATAAATTTGCCATTTCTCCATGGTTGTTTGGTGAGAGGTCACCCCCTAATTTTTCTTAAGTGGCAGTTCTGAAGAGATATTTTGTGTACAGTGTATCTTCCATGACCATCAACATCTTCCATTGAACAGCGGATCCGGGTAGCGTCAGCGCAGGAGGCCTTCACTTCCGCAGAGGCGGCTCAGTGGATTGGAGGAGATTTAGCGGCCCTGGAGGATGGCGAGCGGCAGTGTAGGTGGGTCGTCAATGTCATGGGAGGATGTGGGTAATGATATGGTCATGTGCTAACTAAGATCTTAAATAAAAGACTGCCATAAACCTCCAATTCTAGAGGGTTTACACATGTTTACACCGATTTACACCCCATTCTGGTGAAATTGCTGGAGTTTATGGTTGGGTTTACCACATTCCCCCACTTTCTGGCGAAAGATGATGATCAACTCATTGAGACAGTAGCTCACTATTGAGCCAATGCATCAGGCTAGACATGGCTAGACAGTTGAGATGCTTGAGCTAAAAAAGATCATGTCGCAGATGTCGCAGATGTCGCAGATCGTTAAACTTGAGAGCAGTTGTTCTATCTTCCTAGGACCCTAGGATTTACCAGATTTTTCCTCCGATCCAACATGAGTTTCACGTTTCACTTCTAGCTATGACAGCATGGGTGTCGCCAGGGAAATTACCGAGCACTGGATGGACTGGGTCCGCATGCAGACCTGCCAAACTCCTCCAGGCCATTTCTGGGAGTCCCTGAAAGAGGCCCAAGCAGATAGACATGGTAAAACACCATCAAAACACAATCAAAATGATAGGAATCAGCTTTTTGATCCTGATGGGACCCCTGAAATATGTTTGAACATGATTGAAACAAGAAATAAGAATGGACATCTTACTCAGTTGCAGGGATGCAATAAAGCTGATTGGTGCTTTCAATCATTACACACAGAATCTTATAGCTGCTGTTTTCCATGCTTTCCCACATTAACAGTCTACTATTTTTCTGATGTGTGACTCACGCATCAAAGCAGGAATTGGAATGACGACTCCAACAATCCTCGCTTTATGGGGTCAACCATCCATTTTGCATCATTTTGCTTGGTATCTGAAAGATGGATACCCCGGAATATGTGATGCTTTCTCATTTTCACCCATAAAATTGCACAATTCCCTGCGGGGTAGATCGCATCTTTGACCGCTGGCATCCGCTGGCGGCACTTGAGGGATTCGCTTCGATTACTTCGTGGGCAAAACGGCGCCGGGCAAAGCAACGGTCCGAACACTGGAGATTTGCGAGTTGGGCTTCAGCATGTTGGGCAAGAAGGACAGGCCAACTGAAAAGGATGGGTAGAAAAAATGAACACACAATTCAAATCAATTCAACATAGATTGGGATTTAACATGATTTAAGCAGCAAACAATGGAGTTTTCTGCATCTAACTATAGGAACATCTCACCAAGACACTATGGGGATGTAAGCATCTAACTACTATGGGGATACGTGTCTACCGGGTAGGCGATGATGATCTGGTGGTCCAACCACTGGGATGATTTTCATGTTGAAACCACCAGACTTTTCCATGCAAACTATGGGTTTCAACGACCAGAAATGGGATCAACCAAAGTTTTCATGGAAAATTCTTCCAAGATCCAGCTGTGCACAGAAAACCATCCATTCTGCCCTTCCCATCGACTTCAACCATCGCTGTAGGGCTTGCCGAAGAAAGTCTTCTCGGCGATGCTGCGGGCGTGCCTGGAAGATGAAACGGACATCGCAGACTTTGAGGATGAGCCAGAAGTTCCCACCTCAGGGGTCAGGAGGATTGATAGGGGAATTCATCCCAGATACTCCTATATAAGTATATACGTATGATGGTATAATTCATATGGTATAATCTTGTATAAAAATGATGGTTAAATACCAGGAGGTTGATGATTGATGATCGAACCATCATTTATAGGATTATACGGTTTGAAGCATCAAAACTATGATGTTGTACCATCATATCACTATTGAATGCATCAAGAAACATCAGTTGATAGTTATTTCATGGGTATTTTGCAATCAGTTACAGAGATTTCATGCAACAGAAAACCAGTTTATATGTATAATTGGATGCAGCCTTGTTAAGCCAGGAAATATATAGGGTATATAGGGTTCTAATTGATGAATGATTCAATGATGGCTGGTTAATGCTGATGGGGGCCGTGACACTTATGGAATATCATAATCCATGAACTGGAAATCTTGATTGACAAACTGTTACTTGAATGATTTTCCGATAGGTTTTTGGCACTGCGTTTTTTTCCCCTCTTCTTTGCAGTGTACAAAAAAGACATCACTTGGGGTGGGGTACAAAATAATAGTGAACCTCCCAAACAAGTGGTGTTAGTAGATTATTTATACTTCAGAAACTACGTCAACTGCTAAGTGGTGATGGGTCAGTGCTTGAAGGTTGTCGGCTCTTACACCCAGGTGAATAGGGTTTGTCATTTGTCTTAAAAAGGGGCGGCACCCAATAATTTCAACAAACTATGGCCATGAAGAATCATCAAAGTATGGGACAATGAGGTTTCGAACTTTTTGACACCATGGAAATGGGGTATAATGACATCCAAAAAGAGGCAGAACAGAATTTCTCATAATTCATCACATTTTTAGAATCGTATTTTACTAAAGTTACAAACATCATTTTTTTAAAAACAGGGCGTTGCTGTCCCCCATTTGTTGGGACCCGCAGAAATATCACCTGTCTCCTCCAAGGCTGGATCGTCGCAAGTGGTATCGGAGAGCGCCGAAAGCGAGGCCATATGGGAAACTGGAGGAACCGAGTGGTCAAAAAAGCTGATGATTGTAGTACCCTCTGGTAAACTAACATAGCTATGGAAATTCACCATTTTTAATGGGAAAATCCACTATTAATGGCCATTTTCAATAGCTACGTTAAATTACCAGAGGGTATATGAATTACATCTACTATCATATTTTTTTTTTTTAAATCTATATATTGATATAACTATACACGTGTATATATATATATTGATAAAACACTGTTTCAGAATTTTCCTATTACATGATATGTTATGTGGTATTACTGTTTCTATGATGGTGTCTGACCTTATTGAATAAACATACTAACGTTAAGTTATGTCACTAGGCCCGAGAGATGAACCCATAGTGCCACCCAAAAAGATAGATACGAAAATCCAACGACGAAAAAGTGATAAATTACTTTTTTGTTCATACTTTTCTCCATTTTTGTTTGGGGTTACTAGTTACTACACCACAATATATCATACGTGTTCCTTACTAAACTTGCAATGCTGCAATTGGATATAATTGCGGGAATCGTCCCCATTGTGGACCCCAGATGAAAACAAAAAAGGAAGCAGCTGAGCTCGCTCGAGCTCGATGGTTGGTTATATATTAGTGTTATCAGCAGCTAGGACGATTTATAAGCATTTCTATGGATATGGATGTGAACTGTAAGTATAGACTCATGTGTGCCATGGTCAAGAGATGTATATTTGGGGGGATGGTCATCAATTCAAAATCGGGATTTAGATACCCATGATGTTTGGTTTCCCAGTATGGAATGCACAAAAAGCATGTAACTTGACCCTAGCAGCCCTAGCACATGTGAAATCCCAATGAACAAAGCCATAGCTGGCAGTGATGATTCAGGACGTGCAGCAGAATGTGCATCCCAGCAGAATGTGGTGAACGAAAGCCATGTTTACATCCCACAAACGAGGTATCCGCACTTTACAGGGAAAGTATGAAACAGATCGAGTCCCTACTAGACTAGGAAATTTCTGTATCAGTTCAATTTTTTTGCACATGCATTCCAATGTTGGTACATTGGCTGCTTGGTCGATGGCAGGTGCTTTTTTCTCTTCCAAGAAGGTTTTTCCCTGTTCATGCGTCATCTTTTCAAACTTGCGGACCGATGGTGACTTCATGATGTCTTCCATTTCCATTTCAATTGCATGAACTTGCCATCAATTTGGGTCAATCCCTCTTTCTTGGACAAAGCCGTGTGATTGCCTTCCAACGATTGTCTCAGTTTGTTGGTAACTACCCCATTCATTAAATGCGCTTTATGCTTCGTACAAATCAAGCAAAAAATCTGGGTATATCCCATTGTCAGGCATTGTTGAATGATGTTGAATGCATGTTTTTGAATGGCTAACTCCTAATTTTGTTGGCTAATCCACCATTTTTGCTGGTCAAATCCAAATTGTTGCTGATTAATCTCCATTCTTGGTGGTTGAACCTCCACTTTCGACCGATGAAATCACCATTTTTGCCGGTGAAATCCTAGTTTTTGTTGGTCAATTCATGTAAAATCCCAGATTTTTGCTGGAAGATCTTCCAATGTCCAGGCACCCGAGGCTTTGCTGGAGCAGAACGGTTCCTCAATGCCCTCGGTGCTGTACATCACGGTGCCGCGGGTGGCGCATGGCACGCCGGACCAGGTGAAGTGTACCGGGAAATACGACACTTGGCACAGGAGGATCCCCTTGGCGATGGAACAGGGTTGATGAATCCATAGCGATGGAACATGGTTGTTGAAAATTCTCCATTTTCCGCTATGGTCGATGGAACTTGGATAGCGAACTGAAAAATGCTGATAGCTATCCAGGATATCCATAGTTAATTAGGTTGAATAGCCATTAGGGACTTGGGTACGGGGATGGCCTGGGGGACCCAATCGGGTTGAAATGCTGGATACATTCTGGAGATAGTGGGGATGGGGGATATGAAGAGATTTTTTTCCCAACATTCACCAACAAAATGGAATATATGGGGACCCAATACCTGGGTTTCTTTAAGGTGAATATGGGAAATCCACTATTTGGAGAATCTATAGAGAATATGTGTTACCTTTTTGGAATTTGGGGATATGGTCATATCATGTCATATCATGATATAAAAGTAAACACAATAATGGGATAGACCGGATCATAATTGGATATAATCAGCAAGATGATGATGATCTATAATTATTGGATGGGTCTGTCGGAAAATGGGTGCTTCTACAATTGCCATTTTCTACAAGGGGAAGCGATGATAAACCAATGGTTTTACTTTTTAAGGCTGCCATATTTTCAGAGAAGTCCAGTTTGTGTTGGGGATCCAAATCCATGATTTTTGAATTGGCTTTGCCATGCTTTGCCACCTTATACAAGCTGAAATGATCGAGACTGGCCGAACAAAATAACAAGAATATACAAGAATTATGGAGAACATGATTTGAAACTGGGGATTTCATGGGATTTCACCATATTTCACCAACAACCACATATTCCGGTGTATTCTGGTGGGGGTAGCCACCCAAAACTGGGATGGGCCAGGGCCAAGTCCTTGCTGAAGCCGGGGCTGCGTTGGGTGGAGATATTCATGATATCAGTTGGGAGATGTTGTACAATGACATTTCACACATATATATATATATATATTTGTGTATGACGCAATAAATGATACATATGCTGGAGATGTTATTGTATAGTGAAGTGATATCAGTAAGATGAGTGAACGAAGATAAAGACCGCCCAGCATTGAATTGTTTGACACCGAACAGGATCAACAACGGTAGTTTTCTCTTACCAAAATTTAGATTTATAGTAGTAGCCCTTCAAGTGGAGAAAATGGAGTCGGATGGCATCCTATTTTTGTCCAACAGTGCCCACCCATACTGTCGTTTGACCGGGTTAACACCCCCCAAGTAAACTGTATATCGGTACTCGTATATATTAAGTGTGTATATATATAACTATATATATATGTATGATAATTATGTATGCACGTATATACATATACATATACGTATACATATACATATACATATACATATATACGTATACATATACGTATACATATACATACACACATGCACACACATACACATATATATATATATATACGGCAAATGCCTGGCTTTGCCTCGAACCGCAACGACGACGGGCAACGCACCATCACCATCATCATCATCATCATCATCATCATCATCATCATCATCATCAATTGCATCATCAGTTGAATGTCGATTTCAATATTCCCTAATACCTTTGTTGATCTTCCCAATGGAATGTAAAGTTTAACAGAGGTGGGATTTTAATATTCCCTAATACCTTTGTTGATCTTCCCAATGGAATGTAAAGTTTAACGGGGGTGGGATTTCAATATTCCCAATTGAATGTAAAGTTTAACGGGGGTGGGATTTCAATATTCCCTAATACCTTTGTTGATCTTCCCAATGGAATGTAAAGTTTAACAGGGGTGGGATTTTAATATTCCCAATTGAATGCAAAGTTTAACGGGGGTGGGATTTCAATACTCCCTAATACCTTTGTTGATCTTCCCAATGGAATGTAAAGTTTAACGGGGGTGGGATTTTAATATTCCCTAATACCTTTGTTGATCTTCCCAATGGAATGTAAAGTTTAACAGGGGTGGCATTTTAATATTCCCAATTGAATGTAAAGTTTAACGGGGGTGGGATTTCAATATTCCCTAATACCTTTGTTGATCTTCCCAATGGAATGTAAAGTTTAACGGGGGTGGGATTTCAATATTCCCTAATACCTTTGTTGATCTTCCCAATGGAATGTAAAGTTTAATGGGGGTGGGATTTTAATATTCCCTAATACCTTTGTTGATCTTCCATATGGAATGTAAAGTTTAACAGGGGTGGGATTTTAATATTCCCAATTGAATGAAAAGTTTAACGGGGGTGGGATTTCAATATTCCCTAATACCTTTGTTGATCTTCCCAATGGAATGTAAAGTTTAACGGGGGTGGGATTTCAATATTCCCTAATACCTTTGTTGATCTTCCCAATGGAATGTAAAGTTTAATGGGGGTGGGATTTTAATATTCCCTAATACCTTTGTTGATCTTCCCAATGGAATGTAAAGTTTAACAGGGGTGGGATTTTAATATTCCCAATTGAATGAAAAGTTTAACGGGGGTGGGATTTCAATATTCCCTAATACCTTTGTTGATCTTCCCAATGGAATGTAAAGTTTAACGGGGGTGGGATTTTAATATTCCCTAATACCTTTGTTGATCTTCCCAATGGAATGTAAAGTTTAACGGGGGTAGGATTTCAATATTCCCTAATGCCTTTGTTGATCTTCCCAATGGAATGTAAAGTTTAACAGGAGTGGGATTTTAACATTCCCAATTGAATGTAAAGTTTAACGGGGGTGGTGGGATTTTAATATTCCCTAATACCTTTGTTGATCTTCCCAATGGAATGTAAAGTTTAACGGGGGTGGGATTTCAATATTCCCTAATACCTTTGTTGATCTTCCCAATGGAATGTAAAGTTTAATGGGGGTGGGATTTTAATATTCCCTAATACCTTTGTTGATCTTCCCAATGGAATGTAAAGTTTAACGGGGGTGGGTGGGATTTTAATATTCCCTAATGCCTTTGTTGATCTTCCCAATGGAATGTAAAGCTTAACGGGGGTGGGATTTTAATATTCCCTAATACCTTTGTTGATCTTCCCAATTGAATGTAAAGTTTAACGGGGGTGGGTGGGATTTTAATATTCCCTAATACCTTTGTTGATCTTCCCAATTGAATGTAAAGTTTAACGGGGGTGGGATTTTAATATTCCCTAATACTTTGTTGATCTTCCCAATTGAATGTAAAGTTTAACGGGGGTGGGATTTTAATATTCCCTAATGCCTTTGTTGATCTTCCCAATGGAATGTAAAGTTTAACAGGGGTGGGATTTCAATATTCCCCAATACCTTTGTTGATCTTCCCAATGGAATGTAAAGTTTAACGGGGGTGGGATTTTAATATTCCCTAATACCTTTGTTGATCTTCCCAATTGAATGTAAAGTTTAACGGGGGTGGGATTTTAATATTCCCTAATACCTTTGTTGATCTTCCCAATTGAATGTAGAGTTTAATGGGGGTCGGATTCTAATATTCCCTAATACCTTTAATGATCTTCCCAATTGAATGTAAAGTTTAACGGGGGTGGGTGGGATTTTAATATTCCCTAATACCTTTGTTGATCTTCCCAATTGAATGTAAAGTTTAACGGGGGTGGGTGGGATTTTAATATTCCCTAATACCTTTGTTGATCTTCCCAATTGAATGTAAAGTTTAACGGGGGTGGGATTTTAATATTCCCTAATACCTTTGTTGATCTTCCCAATTGAATGTAAAGTTTAACGGGGGTGGGTGGGATTTTAATATTCACTAATACCTTTGTTGATCTTCTCAATGGAATGCAAAGTTTAACGGGGGTGGGATTTTAATATTCCCTAATACCTTCGTTGATCTTCCCAATTGAATGTAAAGTTTAACGGGGGTGGGATTTTAATATTCCCTAATACCTTTGTTGATCTTCCCAATTGAATGTAAAGGTTAACGGGGGTGGGTGGGATTTGAATGTAAAGTTTAACGGGGGTGGGATTTTAATATTCCCTAATACCTTTGTTGATCTTCCCAATTGAATGTAAAGTTTAACGGGGGTGGGTGGGATTTTAATATTCCCTAATGCCTTTGTTGACATTCCTAATCGAATGTAAAGTTTAACGGGGATTTTAATATTCCCTAATACCTTTGTTGATCTTCCCAATTGAATGTAAAGTTTAACGGGGGTGGGATTTTAATATTCCCTAATACCTTTGTTGATCTTCCCAATGGAATGTAAAGTTTAACAGGGGTGGGATTTTAATATTCCCTAATGCCTTTGTTGATCTTCCCAATGGAATGTAGAGTTTAACGGGGGTGGGATTTTAATATTCCCAATGGAATGCAAAGTTTAACGGGGGTGGGATTTTAATATTCCCTAATACCTTTGTTGATCTTCCCCATGGAATGTAGAGTTTAATGGGGGTCGGATTCTAATATTCCCTAATACCTTTGTTGATCTTCCCAACTGAATATAAAGTTGCAGCAACATTTGATTGGGAATGGGAACCCTCTACTCTGCAACGCTTGCGCGTATACATACACATATACACATATACACATATACACATATACACATATACACATATACACATATACAGATATACATATATATATATACACATACACGTATACACGTATACACATGTACACATATACACATATACACATATACACATATACACACCACATCATCATCATCATCATCATCATCATCATCATCATCATGTACCTTGAACCTCCGAAGCTGCAAAATTCGTAGGGTGGACGACGGATGAAAGTCTCTGGCTGAGGAACAAGTCCCTGGCACCTTCCCCAACGGCCAAGCTTTGTGGATCCATGATCGGGGTGATCGCTTTCTGTATGCCGGAAACGATGGATACTGGTATGTTGGAGATGAAGAGGAGCAAGATGCCAACTTCTGTTGTGAGTCCGGCTACATCAGGTTGGGAGAAATGTGGGATGGGATAGGGAATACATGAAATATCCACTTGGGGACGTCTTTGGTATTCATCGCACATTACAAGGGAAAAACATCTATGGTTTTATAGTTTTATTTGTTATCAATCATCATGCCATTCATTTGCATTATTTCATTATTCAACATTTTCCTACTCATCGTTCCAATCAGCCAACTTAGCATCATTCTAGCATTCATATGCTTGACAAACATCATCCCATCAACCATCATTCCGTCCACATATGACCTATCGTTATCTCTATCACCAGAGCTTACCAATGGCTGCTGCCCATAAGATTAAGATTCAGGTCCACCGGCACAGTGTTGAACCTAAGGCCACTTGTCTTGGCTTCAAATGCCATATTTGGTTGCAAACAAAACGCCCTACATTTGTGGATAGGACCTGATTTTGGTGGATTAAAGTTGGAAATCCATTTTTTTGAGCCATAATTACCCCATACATCCTGGGATCAGCTACCTTCTTCAGGCATGCAGGTGCCGCAGGCCAGGGGGAAGTGGGGATGATGGGATGGATTGATTAAGATGAATTGCTGTCCATCCATTGTTTTCAGGGTATTTGCATGCAAACATGTTTGGGGACAAACAGATTTCCCACAAATTTTCAAAGTTGGCTTGTTGTGGATAATCATACACTTGAATTCACATACACACACACACACAATACACGAGTGTAGATAGAGGTGTAACTCCGATCGATTGGGCTTACTGGGCTGCTGAAATTCTACAGACTTGGCTCAAGTTGCAAGAAATCCATAGAAATCCCTTGATTTCAAAGATTTCATCATTTTCAAAGCCATGAATTCGCTGAACGCCGGTAGGCATCCCTCCAGACCAGCTCCGGGGTCCCTGGGAACGAGGGCCCGGTTGGTATCCGGAGATTGGAATCCTGGTGACCACCGATCCAGAGGTCGGCGGCCACGGTGGTAGCACGTTGAGCCATGGCCCCATCAGGCAGAGTTCAACATGCAGCAGGTTGAAACCAGAGGTCTTTTTTGGATTTCCACTTTATCCATACAGATTTCGAGGTTTCCTGAAATGGAAGTACCCCCAAGTCATCCATTTATCGATGGTTTTTCATTTTTTTTTCCATATAAACCATCTATCTAGTAGGGTACCATCATTTATGGACACCCCCATTTGTATTCATCTCATTATCTCAGGAGATGGCAAGGAAACAGGTCATCTTGCAGGGAAATCTGCGCCAGGCGAAACCTCCCAAGCTCGGCAAGGGCAACAGCAAGGCCAAATAGCTGGCAGGAGAAAGCGCCCAGGGGCCCAGGTCGATTCAGCCCGAACTCGAGGTCCAAAAATGTCAGGACATGAATGAATTTTCTGAGTTCAACGGAATTTGAATATCAGGATTCTACCCAGATTTAGTGATTCACAAGGCTCTCAACCGATTGAAAAATCGCCGAGGCCCAGGAACGCGAAGTGAGCTGGCCTTTGAAGAGTGACTCCCTCGGCATGTCAGAGCCAGTGCGATGAAAAGGCGGCCAGTGTGGGTCCAATGGGTCAATACTTCAGGCCGAAGGCGTCCGAAGGCGTCCGAAGGCCCACTTTGAGATCAAAGCTGTCAAAACTGCGGTCAACTCCTGCTTTTTCTTCCAGCTTTGTATTAGCTACGATCCGGGAAAGTGACAAAATGCTGAACGTATATAATTATAGTTTATCTTTGCCAGACACCCCATACAGCCAACGCTCTACGCGGCACCTCAAACGGCTCACTGCCTGGGGTCCTTCTCACAAAATGGTACAAGGGAGACGCTTTGGGAAATTACTTCACGACAATATTCCGGCAATGTTACACATCCTAGAACGTTAGGCCGAAGTCAAACCAGACACGAAGGAAGTGGCGCAACAAATCGAACAGGACATATTCCATAAAAAGAATTTAGGAGGAACACGGCTGCGTCATACTTTTTAGCACTTCGCTGTTTCAAACAGTTTTGATGCCGCTTCAAGAACTCGTCAAATGGTATCGACCGAAAGCGAACGGACCCACGGCGGATAATCGGATACTTTGCCTTCAAAGCGTATATCCCTTGCCTTGGGCGACGGCTTTTGGACACGTTCTTTGAAACGAGCATTCCGAAAGATTCCAAACTTTCATGGCAACTCCGGCTCTGTTTTGCTATGCTTGGATGGACAAGAAGAGTTAAGCCCATACTCTGTCCATCAAGATTTTGTGTCAGAAGCAGTAAAAAGATTTGACGTCGATTAAGTAAGACTGAAATTTGCACTTCAGTGAGCGGCAATGGAGGGTAGGCTTGGAGCATCTTGGAGCGGTTTTGGGTGCACATCCAACTCCACTTCCGAAATTCATATCTGAACGTATCTGAACATTTTTGCGTTCTGACGGTTTAGATTGTATATGTGACGTTCCCTCAAACTTATTCTGTGCTTAGAGGCTTGGTTGTTCCTGTCCTGCATGCCTTTTTTGTATGTTTTTTTTGGTTGCTGCATTGTTGCCTGTTTGCTGCTGAATGACTGACTGTTGCTTGCCAAGACACCTCGAAGCGTGCCCTTCCGCAACGTTCTCTGTGACAGCGCCATAAGCTTGAACATCGAGTAGTGCTTACTAGAAAATGCATTGTGATTAATCCATGTTAATCCATGTTAATCCAATTCTTTGGTTTTTCAATCGGTTATGAAACACGCCTCACGCGCAGTTCTCACGTAAGACGACGCCAAAGAGTTCTGGGGGCACCGGTCAGCCCGGTCCAGCCCGGTCCATCGGGCGTGTCATCCCAGAATGGATCGAAGAAAGTGTGCCTATTACAGGTATACCTTCTATTAGTGGCCCAGTGGTTTGGAATACCTTCAATATCAAACAAAATATTATCTTCAATATACAAGATATACAATATCTTCTTCTATTCGTGGTTAAGACTCTTCTTATATGAATTATCTTCAATTGAAGTCTTCAAGACGAAACACAACCAGTAGATACCAATAGATTGTGGGTCCATCTGACCCCAATGAGTTGGCGCACACCCTTTTGACCAGCGAGCCTTTCGGATAGCTAGCGTTGAAGCAAACCAACCAACCAACCAAAAGCCCAAACATGTCCGACGCTCTTTTTCGCAAGAGGGTTCTTGCGCGGTTTGACTCAACCTGGGTCAGCTCTCATGCACATCCAGGAACAGTGTGTCACTATGACTTGGGTTATGTTGTATGGACATCTCTTTGGCCCTAGTGATGATATAGTATGAAGACAAAAATCGAACCCACAGCCAGCAAGAAAACTAAAAACCGAGCGAAAGAACCCGCATGCACATTCAGAGCTGGGAGTAAATCCTCAAAAAGATCCAAGGGGTAAGTTGTGACTGCATTGACACACTTTCATGGGACACTCTGTCCCTTCGAACACACTTGTGTGGGGCATTCTCAGAAATGCTCCTGGGGAACGTCTTGAAGACACCCTTTCAAGACACTTTTTGGAAGAACTCATGTGGAACCTGATGGTAGGATATGATACACTCTTGCGAGACACATCTAAGACACTCGTGCAAGCTGCAAGACATTCTGGCGGGGCATTCTTGGAAACACTCCTGTAAGACATTGTTGATGGGACACTCCTGTCCAAAAATGAACAACTTACTTCGCACTTGTGCAAGAGACTCCTGTATGACACTCTCGTTAGCAATGCGCTGTTGTAAGCTTTCCAGAATATTCTAAGACACTGCTGTGAAAGAATAATGTAGCACACTCTTTTCAAGACAACAGTTTCAAAACATTCTTCGGACGGCTTCTTGTGGGACAGTCCCGTATGCCTCGTCAACGCTTGCATGGGAGACTTTTGTGGGGCGGTCTCGCAAGACACCATGGCCTGTTGCGCAAGACACAGCACGTCTTCGTTCCTTGGCAGTTCCACTGATTCATAAACATAAAACGCGTATCAACGCGTAACACGTCACGTTTGAAAAATATGATGTACGCAAAATGACACGCAAACCCATCATATGCTGCGTGGTTGTTTCGGACCCATCATATGCTGAGGCGCTGTTGAGCATTGACACCCCAGCGGCCAACGAAAGAGGCGACTTAGACAATGACTAAAGAATACGACAGACAGAACTTGAGATCAACCTGGAAATACATGTTTATTGGGGTACATTGCCTTTTCGTCATTCAATTTTGCCTCAAGTGGCTTCAAAACGCAACTATTTTGAACTGCTGGGACAAGGTTGAAGGGATGATATTAGCATTTTTTGATATTTTTGGTGGTATGCCGGTATGCCAACAATTCACATATTTTCGTCGTATAATTATGAGACGCTCAGCGGTTTGTCGGTAAGGGCGGCTTCCTGCTTACGGCAAACATTGCGCACAGTTGCGACCAGAGACCTTCCAAACAGTTGGCGCTTCAACGCTGAAACCGCATGGTGCAAAGAGAATCCTTCGGAATCCTTCGCTATGAAGGGATAGACGATGAAACATGTCAAAATTGCAAAAATCACAGGCCACATCTGCAAGGCAGAATGCACCATCTTCTTGCTGCCTGGTCACTGTAGACTTTCAGGACGACGACGTACATGTTTGTGGTGGGCTGGAGGAGGCTAAGATGATAAGCTTCCGAGTTAAGGACAGCACATATTTCAAAAACATGATTTGTGACATAAACATTCATAGTAACACTCATTGTATATATAGAACAACACAAAGATCACGCTAAGATCGCCACAATACAACTATCATAACAATACCAATAGCAAACCGATACAACTATCAACGCAGCACAACTAGCACAACAGCAACAGCACAGCAATGACAACAGCGACACAAGTATCAAAACAAAACAACCAGCACAACAGTACAGAGGCCAGGGGTAGTAGCAGTAGGAAAAACACCGAAATTTAATTGAATGATGTGGTAGGCAGGTTGTCCGGAAGGGCGGGAAGGGCGGGAGTCCATGTAGAACTTGGTTTGCGCGAAGGGCGACGTGGGAGCGGAATTGCTGCACGGATGCGATTCGTTTGAATCTTGAAGCGCTGCAGCTGTCGTGATTTGCAGTGCCGGGCCACACTCGTGCCAAGTTTGAATTAAGTGGGAAACAAACCATCTGCAAACCGAAGATCTTGCGACTCAGCCCTCCATCCCATCTCACAAAATGCATGCGTAAGTGAGGTGAGGTGAGCCTGTGTGCCGGAAGGCAGTCCTAAATCAGCATATTTTCAGGCCAACAACTACCTAGTCCAACAAATGCTTGAAACAACGTTGAGGAGGTAGTTTGGCAATGTAAGCAACAAATTTCCAAAAGTTTTGCAACCCACAAATTTCCCTCTCCTGTTCCATTCGTGTAGGACATCCTGCCAATGTTGGTCACGTAGCAAGTGACGACAATAGATATTCATTGCGTGAGAATTTCGTTGGCGAATTGAGCGGTGACTAGCTGCAAAACAAACCTTCGAGCTGACCACCGGAGTGAGGAAAACAAATTGCTGAAATTGAAGCGTGGCGATCAAACAACATCCATCAGGGAAAACTTGTTGTAGGTGATGTTGCACGTCCACAACGTGGCCTATAGAGCCTTCAGGCGTCAACATGCCATTCTGTTTCGAAACAAAGCAACCTCTTCACATCTCTTCACTAGAATTTTGGCGATACTCGGTCATCGGCCGGGGGTACGTTCCTAAGCCTAAATTGTTGCAAAACAATGTCATTACGAACCCTTCCCAAGCCACCCATGTCTTTGTGAGACAGGTAACCGCCCCAGTTACCAGCCTCTTAGGTAACCAAACTTTGGTTCCGGAACCAGGTGTCAAAATGGATGCATTCTGAGGTTGAACTTATTTTTTAAAGAATGACGGGTCAGAAACATCCAACCATCTAATGATATTTTTCCGATCCTTGAATCAAACCTTTGGGAAAACATGTTTCAAATCCTTTGAAACCATTGGTTTGTTTGGATTCAACCATGGAAACACCTAGTCATGCTCTCTGATTGTTACAGCCTATAGGTGTTCTCACTGTGCTGATATTCATTTGACATGATAGATAAAAAACCGCATGTTTCTGAACCAATGTGGAACTACTTGTAGTGGCCGAGATCCTAGAATTGGTCCTCACGGCAGGAACAAAGGTATCTCCATGATTTGTGTCAAAATGATTCAGACATTGGGGGAGCGGAACCCTTATGGAACCGTTAAAGATCGGCGGCAACCGTCAAAATCAGGGCCGGAACCGCTAAAAACAAGGCCGGAACATGCCGGAACCTCTAAAATTACGGAAACCCTTGCCAACAGAAAATGAAGGGTAACCACGAAAACGAAAGATAGGTGATTCTTCTGATTTTTTTTTGTTCATACATATTTGTTCAATTATATTGTCTTGGATTTTACGTTTTTGCAATGCAATGTTCGAGTTTGTCACTGTTTCAGTGGAGGGCGGTCTGTGCGGGGATGGACGGGGATGGAAATGTGGTTTAATCAGGGTCGGTAAGCATCCGCGCGCCAAGAATGGAAGAGAACACGCTAAAGAGGGC